GTCAAAAGAACGAGTGTTTTTTCGAGTTCTGCACCATCAAAAAGGGACAAAGATGCTGGTTTTTGACCCCAGGTTAGATCAGAATCAGTGGCATCCTCCGCTAGAGGATCAAATCAAATGAGAGGTAGACAAACTCAGTCAGTGGAATCTGGAGCTGGGAGAACTAATCAGAGTCAAGCCAGACAATGCCCGCATTGTGGAAAGAATCATTTAGGGGTATGTCGAATGATTTCTGTAGTCTGCTTTAGATGTGGAGACGCCGGACATTTCGTTCGAGATTGTCCAATGTCAACCAGTGAATCTATACAACCAGAGAGGTCTGTTTCTGTAGCCCAGAGGGGAAGAGGTAGAGGCAGAGGAAGAAGTCAGTCAGAGTCCTCTGCTCAACAAGAGATACACTCCACTGCTCGAGTGTACAACCTCAAGACCAATGAGGATTGTGATGACCCAGATATTATAACAGGCACCTTTCTATTGTTTGACAAAGGTGTTATTGTATTGATTTATCTGGGATCTACATATTCATATATTACTAGTACGTTAGTAAGAGAATTGAACATTCCTTTAGAAACTACTAATAATGAAGTAATAGTGACGAATCCACTAGGGCACAGTGCTTAGGTAAATATGGTGAGTCGAGGGTGTCCCATATGGATTCAGGGAATTGAATTTCCTGCTAATCTGATGGAATTACCTTTTGACAAATTTGAAGTGATACTGGGAATGGATTGGTTATATCGTTATTACGCTGATGTCGATTGTAGATTGAAAAGAGTGACATTGAGAAGTTCTGAAGGAATAAAAGTTATTGTATTTAGTGAAAGATGGAATCCATTAGCAAGTGTGATTTCAGTGATGACTGCAAAGAAGTTATTACTACAGGGATGTCAAGGGTTTATTGCTAATGTACTGGATGTTAGAACCAAGGAGAAAGGGATTGAAGAGATTCCTATAGTCAGATAGTTTCTCGATGTATTTCCTGCAGAGTTGCCAGGTTTACCTCCTGACAGAGAGGTAGAATTTCAGATTGAGATAATATCAGGAACAATGTCCATTGCAATGGCACCATACAGAATGGCTCCAAAGAAATTACAAGAATTAAAGATTCAATTAAAGGAGTTATTGGACAAAGGGTTTATTAGACCAAGTGTATCACCTTGGGGAGCTCCAGTTCTATTTGTTAAGAAGAAAGATGGATCAATGCGTCTTTGTATCGATTACAGACAACTCAATAAAGTGACCATCAAGAACAAGTATCCATTTCCCTGAATCGATGATTTATTTGATCAATTAAAGGAAGCTTCAGTGTTCTCAAAAATTGATCTACGTTCGGGTTATCATCAATTAAAGATTCAAGAAAAAGACATTTCGAAAACGGCGTTTAGAACAAGATATGGTCATTATGAATTTATCGTGATGCCATTTGGAGTTACGAATGCACCAGCTGCTTTTATGGATTTAATGAACAGAATTTTCCAACCGTATTTGGATCAGTTTGCTGTGGTGTTTATTGATGATATTTTAATATATTCAAAGTCAGAAGAAGAGCATAGTTCACACTTACAGATTGTTTTACAGATTTTACGAGACAAGAAGTTTTATGCTAAATTCTCTAAATGTGAATTTTGGTTGAATGAAGTGACATTCCTTGGACATGTAATTTCTACATAAGGAGTTCGAGTGGATCCCCAAAAGATTAAAGCTATTCTAGAGTGGAAAGTTCCAAAGAATGTATCGGAAGTTAGAAGTTTTCTGGGGTTAGCTGGTTATTACCGAAGGTTTGTTAAAAACTTTTCGATTATAGCATTACCCATGACTAAACTGTTGAAAAATGAAGTAAAATTTGTTTGGACTCAAGAATGTCAAGAGAGTTTTGAAAAGTTAAAGAAGATTCTTACAGAAGCTCCAGTGTTAGTTCAACCCGAGTCTGGAAAGAACTTTATAGTGTATAGTGATGCATCTCATAGTGGTTTGGGGTACGTATTAATGCAAGAAGGCAAAGTGGTAGCCTATGCTTCGAGACAACTAAAACCGCATGAGAAAAATTATCCAACACACGACCTAGAGATGGAAGCAGTAGTGTTTTCTTTAAAGATCTGGCGTCACTACTTGTATGGTGAAAAGTGCTACTTGTATACGGATCATAAGAGCTTAAAATACTTGATGACTCAGAAAGAGTTGAATTTAAGACAAAGAAGATGGGTGGAATTTCTCAAGGATTATGATGTGGTGATTGATTTCCATCCTGGAAAGGCAAATGTGGTAGCTGATGCCTTGAGTCGAAAGACATTTGCAGCTTTGCGAACTCTTGATGCTAGATTATCGTTAAGAGAAGATGGTGCAATTTGTGCAGAATTGACAGTCAAGCCCATTTGGTTAAATCAAATTAAAGAATTGCAAGTTAAAGATGAAAAGTGTTTAAAGAGGATACAACAGATAAAGAATGGAGAGGGTATGGATTATGAGATTAAGTCTGATGAGAACTTGTATTATCAAGAAAGATTAGTAATTCCGGATGATGATGAATTAAAGAATGATTTATTAATGGAAGCTCATTGTAGTCCATTGACAATGCATCCGGGAGGGAACAAAATGTATATGGATCTTAAGAGTCGATATTGGTGGCCGGGAATGAAGAAAGACATTTCAAAATTTGTATCAAAGTGTTTGATTTGTCAACAAGTCAAAGCTGAACATCAAGTTCCGTCAGGATTGTTACAACCAATTTTAATTCCCCAATGGAAATGGGAAAACATAACGATGGATTTTGTGACGGGTTTGCCTTTAACTCTGAACAAAAAGGATTCAATCTGGGTAATCGTGGATAGATTGACTAAGTCAGCCCATTTTATTCCAGTACGAACTGATTTCTCCATGGATAGGTATGCTGAATTGTATATTAGAGAGAATATACGGTTGCATGGTGTACCTATTTCCATAGTTTCTGATTGGGATCCTAGATTCACATCACAGTTTTGGAAGTCATTACATAGAGCATTGGGAACTCCGTTAAACTTCAGTACAACGTTTCATCCTCAAACCGATGGTCAATCCGAGCGAACTATTCAAATTCTAGAGGATATGCTAAGAGCTTGTGTTATTGAATACAAAGGATCGTGGGAAAGGTATTTACCACTTGCTGAATTTACATACAACAATAGTTATAAGTCAAGCATCAAAATAGCTCCCTATGAAGCTCTATACAGAAGAAGATATCATACGCCCTTGAACTGGTATGAACTTAAGGATCGAGAAGTTATTGGTCCTGAGTTGATTCAGAATACAGAAGAGAAAGTTCAAGTAATTCAAAATAATCTGAAAGCTGCAGCTGATAGACAGAAATCGTATGTTGATTTAAAAAGGAAAGAAATTGAATTTCAAGTCGGAGATAAAGTATTCTTGAAAGTTTCTCCGTGGAAGAAATATTGAGGTTTGGACGTAAAGGAAAGTTGAGTCCTCGGTTCATTGGACCTTATGAGATTACTAAGAGGGTAGGATCAGTAGCATATCAATTATTTTTACCACCTAAAATGGAAAAGATACACAATGTTTTTCATGTCTCAATGCTTAGGAAATATAGATCTGATCCATCTCACATTGTGACTCCTGAAGAAATTGAAGTCCGACCGTATTTAACTTATGAGAAAGAACATGTTCAAATATTAGCTCACGAAGTTAAACAATTAAGGAACAAGATTATTCCATAGGTTAAGGTCTTGTAGAGGAATCACAAAGTAGAGGAAGCAACATGGGAACGTGAAGAGGACATGAGGATTAAGTACCCCTACCTCTTTGCATAATGAAAATTTGAGGATGAATTTTCTTAAGGGGGTGAGAGTTGTAACATCCTCAATACCGGGTTAGTAACTAAATTGGAAAGTTTCAGATTTTGGTGATTAAAATAGAATGAATGAATAGTATAAAGATTTATATGTAAATGATTGTGTAGGATTGAATTGAAAGGAAGAAGGAATGGAAGGGCAAAAGATCCATTTGCAAGGAAAATTAATTAAAGAAGGGATAAGGATATATATGAGTACAAGTGGAATGAAAAGAAGAGAACAACAAAGCCTTCCAGAGTTATCTTCTTCATCATTCTTCTTTGTACGTGTGAACCAAAGCAAAGGTAAGATTTCTGATTATTGAGTTTCTTGTTAAATTTAATATTGGGTTTTGATTATTAGATGATAACTAAGCTTAAGGAAAACTTAAGTTATCTTAACATCAAAGGATGATTGAGTTAGGAGAGATTTAAGATTTGAAGTTCTTATATGAAATCTTGGAATAGAGTTTATAACTAGAATTGAAAGTTAAATTTGACTTGTCATCAATCTAGTTAAGATATATGAAGTGTTAAAAGTGGAATTCAAACATGTTGGATTATTGATGTAATTCTTGAATTTCATATGAAGGATAGGATTTGAAGGTTAAAGATGAAATAAATGAGTATAAATTGGTTTAAGGATGTGTACTAGAGTTAAGAGTGAAAGAGGGGATTAAACATGAAGGATTTAATCCAAAATGAATGGATTTTCGAGTTTAAAAAAAGGTTCTGGGCAGAGTGCACCGATGCACATTCATGGTGCATCGATGCATCAAGGTTAAAACCCAGAAATTGTATGAATGTGCATCGATGCATTGGTAGTGCATCGATGCACTCTTTTAAAATAAAAACATCGAATGCAATTGGTGCATCGATGCATAAGGAGTGCATCGATGCATCCCAGCAATAATACTACATCGAATACCTTTTATGCACCGATGCATCAGTAGTGCATCGATGCATACCTTCATTAAAAGATGAAATTGACTTTTCTCTTAGTCTAAAGAGTGAATCATTAGAGTATATTAGTTATAATACTGATATAGATCCATGTGCGATATGTAGATACTAAAAGTAAGCTTATTCCATAACGATCAAAGGATTAGAATTGAATCAAAGCAAAGCTAAGGTGAGTGCATACTATATGTATATTATAATGGAATAAGACTTGTGATAAGTCTAATCCCTGTGTTGATTTTTATAATACAGTAGTTGTGAACATGCATACATGATAATTATTGTGATACATGCATAAGATATATATATGTTCATGTGATATGATATGTGATATGACCTGTGATATAAGAACATGATATGAAGTGATATGAGATACATGATCACAAGAGAAATGATATGAGTACATGAACATATATATAAGAATAATGCCCATAGTATACGATATGAGAATTATAGGTGTAATTGGCATGCCAAGAGTCGAGGGTATAATAGTCCTTCGGGACGTAGTCCTTCGGGACGTAGTCCTTCGGGACGTAGTCCTTCGGGATGTAGGAGTCCTACGGGACGAATACTGAACAAAGGTTCGGTGCCCCATGAGGGAATAAATATGAGCTGTGGTGACAACATTAGTGCACAACCTCAATGCACTCACATATCTCTAATCTCAATAATATACATGGGCTAAGCAATTGAAATACCGATTTACAGTGAAAGTGATACAAGAAGGTAAGTTTCGTATGTGTATTATATGTTATCGTGCGATAGATACATACATATTGAAATGTCATGATCCAATTGTAAGTATGAACATTCATAAGTTTATTGTTGCATATTCATTTATTGCCTCGCTAAGTCTATGACTTAGCGTGTAAGTGATTTACACGTAGGTACCAAGAATCAGGAAAAGTGGAAATAGAAGTAGCACGGACAGCAATACTACTAAGAGATCATATTAGAAGTAATTGACAAAGTATGTACTTGGTTATGTATAGAGTGTTGGCATGTAATAAGTGTTAATTACGAATACTCTGATCGATTTTGTATTTTATGGTCTTATGTAAATTAAAGTATTTTGTTTTAATGAAAGTTTAAAAATTCCCGGGATTTTCTATAAGAGTCAAGGTTTTGAAAAGTCAATGTGACACCTCAGACTTGTATTCGGGTCGGATATGAGTTAAGGGTGTTACAGAGGTTGTGGAATTGAGGAGTGAACTTACGGGGGTGAAGGGGGTGGTTGATCAATTATGGGATGAGGGAGATCAATTGAAGGGTGAAATAAAAGAGATGAAGAGCTATGTAGAGCAAAAATATGATGAACTGAAAAAATATAAAGAAGAAAAGAGGGAGGAGGAAGAAAAAATGGAAGAAATGAGGAGGAAGGAAGTCGATGTCATTTATACACCGGAGAGTGTTATAGCAGTAGATTTGGATTCAGAATGTCCTGTACCCCAGAAGAAGAAGCAGTAGGTAAGTTGAATAAAAGAAAACTTAATTTGATCTTTATCATATTGTTGTGACAAAAATTTGTATGCAAAATTGTAGGTTGAAAAAACGGATATTCCAAGCGGAATTGATGACATCGAAGCTGCAATTTGTGATTATTTATGGAATAGTGAGTTAGAATCTGGGTAAGTGAAATATATTGCTTTGTGAGTGATATTTAAATATTTCATGACAACATATTAATCCTAATGATTCATACATATATTCTGTAATCTCAATGGGAAATCAATTCGCTAGTGTATACGACGTTGCAACGTTGAAGCCTACGTAATGGGTTGGCGGTGTGGTAAGTAGAAAGTAGAAAATGTTAAAACTTATTGAATATGTTCTGATTGTGTAATTAGTTTCGTTATGTTATTGATTTGCTCGCCTGGACAGTATGCTACGATTCTTAAAAGTCACTCCGGAGGATTGGCTACCTTCCATACCTCTTAGCGGTGAGTTAAATTAATAAATGTTGAAAAGTAGTGTTATAGACAGTAAATTAATAATGTTTGTTGCGTAATTGCAGCAACAGGCGTTGGATGCCAACAAAAAAGAAAGTGTTGAGAGTATTGCTACCTTTTTGGGTTCCATATTGGATAACTATGTGAAATGCACCGACTGTGAGAAGGTAAGACACCATACCAATTGCAAATGATATTTTCGGATATAGAATGTTGAATTTTGTCAAATTAGGTGTGAAATTTGTTGTAGATCATGATCACAATAAACTGCCATAATTCAGATTGGTATCTGTTGGTGTTGGATATAGTAGATCGTGTTGCAACAATATATGATAGTATGTTTACATCTGAAGCAGATAAACAGAAAGTGAAGGATGTTAAGAGATTGATATGTATATATGTATGAAAGGACATTATGTAAATTATAATGCATACTTTTTTTGGATCATAACTTCTTTTTTTTAATGCATATTAAATATTAGATTTTTATAATAAGAAACGCATTTGGGTTGAATACTGTGGATCTCTAGGAAAGTTCCCCTTGAAAAATTTCAAATTTGTGGAGCATAAGAAGAATAAGCAATTGAATGGGTATGAGATGTTATCATAAATAGAAAGCTTAATTTATGCAGGATTCATAATTGACATGTGTGGTTTTTAAATTTTGTAACAAATATGATTGTGACATGTATGTGATGATGTGGATGGAATCGATCGGTTCTACAGGGGCAACTGGTGATTTTGTAAGTGGAATTAAAAATTCGTTTGTGGTAAAATTGTTAAAAGTCATAGATTGAATGTTATGGTTTACAATACTTAACGTTCTGACAATTTGAATATAGGTTGTTGGAGAGTGTGATCGATCACGAATATTAAACGATCTCGTAAGCCACAATCAAAATCAACGAAGACAGGAGATAACAAAAGCTTCCATGAGACACTACAATAACAAAAGGATGCAATGATGTAAATGTAGGGTTAATTTTTTATAAGATTTATAATTTTGTATGTAAATGTAATTATGTATGAGATCAGAAAAGTTAGCAGTAGGTTGTTGTACATTTTCTTATACACATTAAGAGTCATGTTCATACATACGATATATGGAGATTGTTGTAAAAGGTAAATTGACAATGTAGTTAGTAAAAATAGACTTTTTACTAAAAAATTAATAAACACTGATTTGTTTCCAATATTTTGTCCAGTATGATTCCCAAACATTAAGTTTCCAAAAAATAAGTCAGCATATGTGTAATGTAATAGGTAAAATTTATCGATCCCAGAAACATATGCATCCATAAGTATAATGTAATAGGTAAATTTACAATGTAACCGATATAAAAATACTGTTTTATGAGAGAATAGGTCTACAACATGTATCGACACTTGTTTAATTTTGTGTCGATACTTTTGGTCCAGAATGGATGCCAAAAAGGGTGAACGCATAAAGTGTCGATACATTTTCAAAAAGTGTCGATCCTAGAAACATATGCATCCATAAGTATAATGTAATAGGTAAATTTACAGTGTAACCGGTATAAATATACCAGTTTTATGAGAGAATAGGTCTAAAACATGTATCGATACTTGTTTAATTTTGTGTCGATACTTTTAAATTTAAAAGTTGAAAAGATTCTCGTATCTTGCGTTTTATAGAATGCGAGGAGCCATTAACCTCGCTTCAGGGGCGGTACGAGGATGACTATAAATAGGGCCCAACCCCAGTCGAAATTCTCACATCATTCTTCAAAAAAATCTTTATCTCACATATTTTATATATGATATTATTATGGCATGATTAGTGAGGGTTGATCGTAGACATGTATGCGATGGAGACCGGAGACACACATATTCATTTTCCTTGTGGGGAGGCGACCATTACCATTGAAGATGTCGCATTTCATCATGGGTTGTCTGTTGACGAAAATCCTATTACTGGTATTGCCCATGGGCACTAGAGTGGCTTGTGTGCGGAACTGCTAGGAATTACTTCCACAAGTGAAGATATGGATGGAGGGAGATCTACATTAAATTTTTGGATGACAATTTTTCGGAGATACCTGCTGATGCTACTCCATAAATTAAACAAGTAATTTTTGAAATATATGTTTACTTATTTTAATTTATTTATTTATAATATTAAAATTTTAGTTTAGTTTATGTTATTGTAATTTTTTACGATAAATTTTTAATTTATTCGTACCATTTTTATTTTGCAACAATTTGTTCGTGCTTATATTTTACAGGTTATTGGGGGGATCTTGATGCCTGATAAATCCCGAAACAAAGTGCATCTGATGTGGTTGTACCATCTACTGATTTTGTGGGACACTAAAAATATGAGTTAGGGATCGACAGTGTTGGCCTTTTTATTCCGAGAGCTATGTAAAGTTATCGATCCAGACAAACAAGTAATTGGAGGATGTTTAATGTTGTTACAATCATTGGCTTGGTTTCGAATGTCTTTTTTACAGTCGATTCCTACTGAGCATACCCTATTTGAATTTCTACTACTTCAAAGGTAATTAAAAATAAGCTACGCTTATATATTTAAATTACTATATGTTTTTTTAGTTTTAGTAATAATTATATTTTTTTATATGAGTAATAAGTGGACTGTCACACTAACTCACACCCACCTACCAAGAACTCTATGTGATTTTAGATTGTCGATCGATAAGATGAAAGATGAGGTAATCGATTTTATAATTTTTTGTAAATTAAATATCAATTTTTTATTCGAGTTTATGTAACTTAGTTTAAAAATATTTGTGTAGTTCGTGTGGACGTCGTATAGTGACAATGCTATTAGATAATGTACTTCGATTGAAATAGGTCTCAGTTTGCATGTTTTGATATCAGTGGTCCCATTGATAGTCTATGAGATCGTCGAGTAGTATCCTAATGATCGCGTGCTGCGACAATTTAACCATGTCCAAACGATTCCGCCACCAAACTTGGATGCCTTGCATCTCCTAAAGCGACAGGGGAAGGATGTTAATTAGGAGATTCATCATGCGGATTGGGTGTTGCAGTGGATGATGAGATTACATACGCATTCGTTTTTGAACCCATCTTCAGCTGCAATGTTTCAAATGATTACATGCTGTGGTATGAACAAAATGGGAAGCCACACATACTGAACGAGGATGAGCGAGCACGAGAAATTTATAAGCCTCCCTAAACCGTCCGTTAACGTAACATGGTGCTAGAGGAGAATAAAGTCAGAGTAGACGAAAAATTACTCCAGCCTCATCATCGGGAATGGCACAAGCACCTGTAGAGCATCATATACCACTGAAGGCACATACATTCACCCACTCGACTCAAATAACATTTCAGCATATGGTGCCTCTGACGGAATGTTTTTTTGACGATGTATTTCGTTCATGTCCGACAGTTGTTGTCCCTTCCCATTGTCTTCCTCCACCAGTTAACAAATATTATCTGTCACCTATGTGTGCATTTGTTCAACCATTGGCAATAAACTTCGATTCCGACAATGTTGAGTAGACGCCGCCAGAGAGTATGTTCTACACCGGTCTTGGTCCTAGTGCTAATGGTGGTATTGGATATGCAGATGAGGGTGATGGTGAGGGTGATGGTGGTGGTGGTGATGGTGATGATGTTGATAAATATAAATTGATTCATATGAATCCTCGTCAAACTTGTCGTCCACGACAGTGCGATACGGGTGGACTATGCTTCATTAGTTGTTTAAATTTTTAATTTTTTTAGTTAATCGAACTCTATTTTCTTTTTGTAAAACTAATATTCAAATATAATGTTCTATTTTTTTTAGATTTGTTAAAAAATAATAATTAAGTTTAAGATATTAATTTGTTTAAGTTATCCTTGAACAATATGATAATTAGTTGTTTGGTTTGATGCATAAATAACTTAGAAATAATCATATTTACTAAAATTTATTTTAATACTAATTTAAAAACACAATAAAAAATGCATGAG